ATGCACCAAAACATGGTGAACGACCTGGCGGAAGCCATGAAGGCGTTGGAAGGAAAAAACAGATTCAGTGTAACAGCAGGACGTGGAGTCACAAGCTTTGAACTTCTGAGTGGCAAACTATACACTGGAAAAGGATGTCAATTTGGTGAACCAGTTTGTGGTTTTCAAAAGAGCCATTCAAAAGGAATCCACGATGGAGACGCATGGTGTTTTTGGGCAAGATCGACCCGCAGGACTCATACTTACTCTCCAATGGAACCCATTTGATTTTGGCAAGGTCTGTCAGAAGGATCAACACTTGCTGGAAAGGTCATTTGGCGTTTTACTCCAGCTGCCTCATAAGTATAGGAGCAGCTTTGGTGGAAGAGTGGTGCCAACAAAGAGCAGTCGTGCACCCATTGCTCCTGGCTTCAATCCTCCAGTTGGAGATGTGGAACCCTCCAAATTCTTTGATGAGGACGCTGAGGCAGGCAGAAAGCTCTTGAAGAGCAACGTGAAGACTATGAAACAGCCAACATGGCCATCCACGACAAGCAGAACCCTATGCAGGAGATGGAGCAACAGCCTCAGGTTGACTGGAAGATGCAAGTGTGATACAACATCCCCAATCCAATTGGCATTTTCGATGATCCAGTGGAGGAGGAGATGATCAATCTCAAGAGATGGCAAACCCAGCGTTGGAATTACCTGGTCCTTCTACACCTCCTTCTTTCTTCGAAGTGCCAATGACTCCTCTTGTGATAGCACCCTCAAGCTCAGCAGCAGCAGGCTCAACTGATGTGCCTGTGACTCCAAGGGCGCATCCAACAACCATGGTGAGGAGGAGACAGCTAATGAACAGATCCACAAGAAGGCCAAGGTGGAGGACACAAAGAAACCCAGGCTCATGCAATTGAGTGAGCAACATTCAGCAATGATCCGTGCAGTGCAGTTTGATGATGGATCAGAATTTCATACAATGGACGACTACAGCCAGGACCTCAAGATGACAGATCAGATCATGAGGAAGATGAAGATCACTGGCAAGATGATCCATCATTCTTTTCAGGTGTTCCTCTGCAGTTGTGGTCAGATGCTGATATCAATGTGAAGCCTGAGGAACCTCCACAGTGACTGGACGATTTGGCCGCTGACGCAGAACTCTCTCGACCCACCAGCATGGGTGTTATCCAACGTGAAGCTGACTATAATGGCCTTGCAGAGAAGAGCCATCAACTGAACACAAAGTTTGTCAGAGATTGGCGCCTCAAACAGTTTGGTGATGCAGCTGATGGGGAGCCAACACCCAAATGGCTTCGACGCAGCAGGCTGGTAGCACGAGAATATGCATTCTTGTAGAGACGGCAAGATGTCTACTCACCAGCTTCAAGCACTCATGTTTTGAACCTGCTTCCTTTACTTTGGCTTCAACGATGCGGTGATTTGAATGATGTTGCAGGAGGAGTTTCATGCAGTGATCAGGCGATGGCAGCTTTGGACATCAAAGATGCTTTTCTAGAAGTTCCACAACATACTCCTCTCAGCATCAAGCTTGCAGGTCAAACATGGGTTGTACTCAAGAACCTTCCTGGCCAACGATTTGGGGCACGTGCTTGGTACTGGTATCTACGTGCGTTTTTGGATGAGACAATGAAGTTTGAATTTTGCAGTGTTCAACCTTTCTTGGCACGTACTCCAGAATGTGCCATTCTCATCCATGTGGACGACATCATGTATGTTGACAGCCTCAAGTTTTGGAATGAGTTCAAGGAGAAACTTCAACAGCGTTTTTCAATCAGTTGCTCTGTTTTGGAAGGAGTTGGATCAGAGATTTCATTCCTGAAGAGGAGGCTCTTGCGTGTGGAAGATGGTTTGGCGTTACTCCCAGGCAGCATTGGGAAGTTGATCAAGGTTTGGGAAGAAAAGTTTGGAAAGCTGAGATCTTCCACAACTCCAGCTGACTCTTCAATTCAAATGGAAGACAACTCTCCATGCTTGGTTGGAAGCGATGTTACCTTTTTCAGAATGGCTGTGGGCACATGCTTGTACATCACACGTGATCGACCAGATGTTGCTTTCACGGTGAAGGAACTTTCAAGCTACATGAGCAGCTCCACAATTTCAGCAATGAGACACCTCAAGAAGCTTGTGGCTTACTTGAAGGGGACCAGCAACTATGCAGTTGTGCTTCAACAACCTCATGGAGGACAAGGCTTGCACAAACAAACCAATGACAGAAATTTGCTTTTGGAGTCCTTTTCAGACAGTGACTGGAGCAGTGACAAACGAAATCGACGCTCTACGTCCTCAGGTCTCCATATGCTATGTGGCAATTTGGTATACTCAAGCTCACGTACCCAAAGGGTGATCTCTCTGTCAAGCTGTGAAGCTGAACCACATGGAATGGTGTCGACTCTTTGTGACGGCATCTTCATCAAACGTTGTGCTGAATTTGTCATCAAGGGCAATGTCGAGCACATTTTGCTGACTGACTCTTCAAGTGCACGTCAACTGTGCTCACGCCAAGGCACAGGGAAGGTGAAGCACTTGAGTCCCAAAATACTTTGGATACAAGATCAAGTTCGAAATGGGGAGAGTGCTTTGAGCCAAATCAGCACAGCTTTCAATGTTGCTGATATTGGTACCAAGGCGTTGTCGTCAGCAAAGCGATCTGAAGACTCTGCTCAGTGACATTGGCATCTTTGATGATGATGGTGCCAACCCAATCCAGGCAGAAGAACGTCGAGGTGGAGATGGTCGAAACTTGAATCAAATGGTACAAGCAGCCAGGACAATTGCACGTCTTGCACTTCTCATGGGCCTCGAGCCTACCACTGGCGCTATGGGTTTTCCAGTTAATGAATGTGCAATTGGTGTTTCAGCTGGCACTTGTGCACCAGAAGATCATGATGATGATCACTCAAGGTTGGTCTACGTGATTTTGTTTGTGTGGTGCACAGCCATGACTTTCTTGGTTGCAGCAGCAGTTTGGATTGGCATCAAGCGGATTCGCGCCATTGAAGCTGATGCAGGCCATCTTGCACTACAGGTTGCACAAACTGACACAACCTTTGGCGAGCACATGGCTTTACTCCCAGAAGTTCAAAGGTCAGTTGGACAGATGAGAAATGAGGTGACTGAGACCGCAAGTCACATGGACATGCTGGCAGACTCAGTCGATGGAATCCACTACGGTTTGGTTGAGATTGGAGGATTTGCCCAACATCGAGAACTTACTCCTGTTCAACCACGTCACATGTTTACAGTTGAGCAAGGCAACAGAGTAGCCATGAATGCCATGGGACATGCACAGTATATGGGCGTAATCAGGCACCAAAGCCGAGGATTTGCATGGGCAGGTGATGACACTGACCCATCATCACCACCACCAGTGGCACCAGCAACAGCAGCAGCAACAACTACAGGAGCTTCTTCGAGCAATGACCATGGAGTTTGGAGTGGAGTCGTCTATGCAGAGGGAGGTGAATCAGAATCTGAGAGGCCGGAGGATCACCTTCTGAATCCAGAGAGAGACATGTCAACAAGACAAGGTGAACTTGAAACCTCCATAGATGATTTGAGACTTCAACTCAATGTGGCGCTTGCAGAAGAACTTTGGAGCGACGCAGATGAACTCCAGAGAACAATCTTGATGTTGCTGGACCACACCAACAATCAAGGCATGAGAAATCCAGAAACAAGGATCAGAGTTTTCCAAAGGACCGCAGATTCTTTCAGAATGATGGCAAATCGAGGAGAACAACGTGGCATGAGCAATGCGACCATAGCCAGGTACAGAGATTTCGAAGATGTGTACCGTTCCAGGACATGACAGCCCATTTTGGGCAAAACTACTTTGCTTTTGGATGCCCGGGAATGTGAGCCACTCCTGGTGACCATAATGCTCACTTGGAAGCCCAATACGCTACAACAATTCCAAATAGAGCTACAGCAGAGTACAATTCAGGACGTTTGCAAAACTGCAAAGGGGGCCACTTGCAACACTCCGCACAGAAAATCTTTTGAGATTCACTTTCAACGACTTTTCTTTTCTTGCGTGTCAAGGCGCAATGGCGGTGAGAAAACCGTGAGAGCAGCAAGGTGAGTTTGCACTACACCGTGCTGAGGAGGAGCGTGAAAGTTTTCTGTTAGCACCCCACCGTTGGAACACAGTTGCGTGGCCACTGCACAAGGATGACACGCACTTCAATCGAGACAGTTTCATTTTCACTTCAATCACATGTGAAATCCACATGTTTGCATTCAGGCCCTGAGGTCCAAGCAAAAAGGAGTGATTGCCAGCTGTTCTTTCGCAGTTTTGAATTACACAGCTGAATATATATATATATATATAACATTTGCAGAACTTGCATGACACCACAAATATGTTCGCGTGTCAAAATGAGTCCGAAATCAAAAAAATCAGTATTGAACGGTTCGATCACTTGCGCCTGTTGACATGAACATTTGCCAATTGTGTTCTTTGTCATCCATTTGTTGCACCACGTGTTGAAAAAAGGGGCCAACGACAAAACCTTCGCCCACCGCATTGCATGTTGCTGCTTTGGTTTCAACGAGTGCCCTCACTTTTATTTTATATATCCTGTGTGTGGAATTTTAGCATTTGCGTAAACGGTGGTTCAACCATCCCACACAAAAAGATCGTTTGAAATGGTGCAAAATTTGTATGTTCTTTTGTCGCACTGACCGACCCATGACATAACACAACATAATTGGGAAGGGTTCACATATTTGGTTTCGTTGATATTCTCAACACAAATGTTTGTGCATCAAAATTGAATTTCAGCTAACATTTTCTACTGTCATAAGGATAATATGTTGGCTATATTTTGCTCAAATAGGGTTCAATTTGTGATTTCTGCGATTGCAGAATCAGTGGATGCCTCAGATTTAGAAAATGTTGTTCGTTTTGTATCAGACTTCGGCAGTTCAAAGGTTGACAAAACCCAAACTGATGCAGTAGTTGTGCATCGCTCCTGCATCCCTGTGCAGGTGTCACCATGAGTCAGAACATATCCTGTGAACCGAAAATTTGTGAGGTGCAGCCAACGGCAAGACAAAGACAAAACTCAAAATATGGTCAGCATTGTTACATGAATTGCAAACCGAAACATAAGATTTCATTCGACCAATTGGTCAACACGAAATTGGTAGACAGTGTGCAGTGCAGTGTGATGTTTTGCAAACCTTGGTGAAAACAAAAAACATCGCACGTGTCCATGTTGCTACTGTTCGCAGGTAGGCGGAGGCGGCCTACTTTTGCCGTTATTCAAAGAAGGCTGGGTGCCTTCCCGTCATTGTGTTTTTTTCTTGCGAGAAAAATCGTAGCATAAGGCGCTATGGGTGCATAGGGCATAGGGGGAAAAAACCTAGCAAATATGGTGCAGACACCAAAAAAACTCATGAGACTCATGTAGTTCAATGCTGCCACCGTTGCCAGATGAACAAAAATGGGACATGGGACTTCGTCAGGGCCTCAGCATTGAATGCAATGTTTGTTTGCGCCACTTGTGCTCATAGGCCATGGGGCCGTGGGGCCATGGGGCCATCATGCGTCTTTGACGCATGATTTCATGATAACGTATCAAAGTCAACCAATTTTGTTGGACAAATTTCCTTCTCACTTCAGTGCCAAGGTGACGCAAACAAAAATACTGCGAACATTGTGTGTGCGTGTGTGTGTTGGGTGCCTTCAAACATGTGCAATCATGTTTTTGTTTTTTTGTGAACTGAGGTGCTGTACTTTATTTTACTGGCCTGCTTTGGTCCTTTATGGGCAGCTAACTCAAGCGTATCATTGTCCTGCTTGCCATTGGAACAAACATGTGATGGTTCAGTGCAGGGTGATTGATCCAGTGTGCTGCATGAACCAAGGTGTAGGAATCGTGTCAGACATTTTCATGGGAGCCATTGAAAAGGCCAAGAGTTTGAACATGACAAGAATGTGAACTTGCAATTTCTGTGCAAACTGGATGTACTTGTGTTCATTGTAGCTTTGGAACCAGACAGTACATGATACGGAAACAGGGCCATGAGAACTTTGTGTCAGGTTACTTCGAGGAAGAAACGGGTTTTCAGCTCGAACTTGCAAACTTTCATAACAGCAGCCTGGCAATTGATATCAGTCCGCAAATACCTTAGATTTCGTTTGTTTGTTTGACACAAAAATGCTGGCAGCATGGAACTCTCAATGATGTCAGGTAAAAGTGTGGAATGCAACTGTGGCCAACTTGACCCTCATGGCATTGGGATCCAGTGCTCCAGAGATCTTGTTGAGCGTCAGGAGAACCCAGGACGGAGGATCGCGCATGTTTTTCTTCGGGGCTCCCTTCAGATCCTTTCATGGTTTTCATGTGAGGTCATAGAATTGCTGAAGAACAACATGTATGCCGGAGATTTGGGGCCGTCAACCATTGTCTTGGCCTGAGTCCTTCTATTGATTCTATTGTGATCTTGATGCCGCGGTTCTTGACCCAGACCAGACTTCTGATTGAAACCCGATAATGCAATGCCAGATTTGGGGATATTTATGATACCAGATTTTGAGGTGGAACATGCATCTATCAGCTCTTGTGATGTTGCCAAAGCAAGGTCACAAAGAGTACACGGATCAGATCGAATTATGTTCATAGTATTATTTTTCTAGCAGGAATAAAGTTATTGCAACTGCAACCCAAGAGAGAGAGAGAGAGAGAGACGATTCGCAGCACTATGCACCCTCTATGGTGGGGGTATGAAGTGCAAGACACTGATGGTCATGAGTTTGCATAAAAAAACACAACGAGAAGCGCCAAGCTCCATTCTTGTCTCACCAGAATCACAATTTTCACCACGAATCCCTGCAATTTTCCATAGCCTTGGCAGGTCGGGAGTGCGGCCTTCAACCTTCTTTGCATCACAGCCGTCTGTGTTTCTGCCATCCCAGAAGGGGAAGTGCGCAGAATCAAAGACATAGGGGACCCCTCTGGCATGTTTGAAGGGACTGAAGGGAACTAGCCCAGCCAATTGTGGATAAAAAGGCACCCCAAATGGGAAGATCTTGAAGATTCTCAAAAAAATCTTGGCAATGGGCTCCCATTGCTGGTGCCTTCAAGGCATGCACATGCTTTGCCAGGTTTTCGCTGTGACAGCAACGTTCTCCGTGTTTGCCTATCTGTGGCTGCTGATTATTTGCATGTTGTGGACTCCTGATGCCTGGCTGGCATGCTTAAAGAAACAGCGTCGTGATATGTCGTGATATTCCTCATGAATGGCTGTTTTTTTGGTATGCCATGGTATGCCACATTTTCTGAGACACCGATGTGGGAGTGATATGGAGTAAGGTGAGCCCAGGCGATCATGAATTGCAGCTTTCCGTTCTGATCTGCGAAACTCTTTGTTTCATTGCTTGTAAGAAACGAACTCGGATTCACAGGTCATTACAATTGAAGAGGCCGGCCTCCCAATTCATGCATCCTGTTGTATAGGACTTGTGCAGTTTATTCACTTCATTTGCAATCCTCGTTGCAAAATCACTGGAGCGAGGGGTTGATCACATTCTTCCTCTTTCCGGTGCTTGTCCTGATTTCCTACATGGCGGTGGACATCTCAGTCCTTCACTTCATCCAGCTGTCCTTCAGCCAGAAAAAAGCAGAAAGTTTGGGTAGTGCTGCACCTGAGAATTTTGTAGCTGGGAAGAGTCCTGCAAGTGCTGCACCAGTCTGCAGCAATCTGCACCAATCTGCACCAACTCGCAAGGACAAGGGCTATTTCACTGGCAAGAAGCAAAATGCACAAGCGCAGAAGGTCCTGCTGGATGCTGCTACAGAGCAGGTGGGGCAGAGTTGCAGGACTAAAGCCGTCACTGCAAACGATCAAATTCGAGTCAGCTGCTTTGGGCCTGGTCAGGAAATCGCCACCATGAGAATGCGTATCCTGAAGAAGCACGGCACTGGTATTCCAGATGCCGTCCTTGCATGTCTTGCAGAATCTTGCAGAATCTTGCAGAGTTGGCTTCGGGAAACTGTGCGTATCCAACCACCTTTGGAGGACAAAGTTGTGGCTTTGATTCGGGAAGAGTTTGGTGCAGTCGTTCGGGCCTCGAGGAAGTTCCCCATGGCTTACAATCATTTTTTCCCACATGGGCAGCCCCATTAAGGCTAGTTTTTCACCTTATTTTTGCAGACAGTCACCTAGTTTTCATATGTTTTCATGGTCAATATACATTGATATCCCCATTTATCTATCCAAATACATCCACATGACAGCTCAGCTGACAGCTCCATTTATGGCTCCCCCCAATCGCCTAAGGAAGAACCCTCAAGAGCAGCTCGGCGGATGGCTGCCACGGAGAAGCTCTTTGGAGGTGGCAGGAGCTCAACGGGTTGAGATGTCGACGATGTCAGGTGTTGCAGTGTTGCGGCGTTGCGTTACGTGGCAGAAGCTTTTTTTTCCCATGGCCTGGGGGCTGAAGAATTCAGACTATTTGAGATGATTTGAGATGGTTGATGTGGAGATTCCCGGATTCTGATTGGCGTTGACATATTGTAGCGCCTGTGTCGTGGACTGTTCACGGTCCGTATCCTGTTCGAATGCAGCTTTGTGTTACAGCGTCGCGACTCAACGGTTGCAAGGAGAAAGTCTGCTGACTCCAAAGTAGTTCCGGACTTGACATTTCTTTCAGAATGCTTTTCGTGTCTTACGATGTTCCTTACATAATCATATGATATAATATATATATAATATATATAATATATATAATATAATACTGTATATGTTATATATGGTCAAGGGCTCCACAGAACATATGGCCGCTGACCATCCACTTGGTTATTTTTTGGCAACTTCAAAACTCTTCGTGCCAAACATGGCTACACCAAGGTGCCTATCAAGCTCTCGCCAGATGAGGCAGCTGGCTTGGCTGTCAGTTTCTGTGAAAGGCTCCAGCTTTGGCATCGCTTTGTTGTTGCAGGGCCCTGCAAAAACAAACATCACGTTTGAATTTGAGTCTGCTACCTAGTCCAGGGTTACAGGGTGCCGAGGTTTGCTGGGTAGGACTCACATTTAATCTGTATTCTCTGATGATTTTTCAAACATTCAGTTTTGTGATTCTGGCTCATGAGTCCGTCTTCTCCCGGGCTAGAAACGACTTGTCGGAACACAAAGGCTTTGTTGGCAACAGGAGCTGCAGGTGAAAAGTAATGCTTTCCCACAATCGAAGTTAGGAAGTATCTAATTGGTTGCCTGTGGCTGAAACGAATGCAGTCGTCCCAAGGCACACAGAGTACTCCTGTTTGGAGAGTTGCGACACGCTGGACTGCCGCTGTCCATCTCTGCCATTGAAATGGAGGTTTCCTAAAATGGGGGTACCTCTAAATCATCCATTTATAGATGGATTTTCCATGATTTTCCATTATAAACATTTATAAACCAACAATTTTTTGGGGAATCCCCCATTTATGGAAACCAGTGCAGGTGTTTTGTATAGCTTGTTGCAAGGAGCTTGTCATCACCCGAGAGGGTGATACTACAGCTAGCCTCGGCAAGGGAGCAGTCATGTGCCTTTCTGCATCATAGAAAACCACGACAAAATCATCTAATGTGGGTAAAACAATAATAAACCATCCCCCAAATCACCATAAATGGAGAACGGGGTGGTTTATCATTGTTTTACCCACATTACATTGTATTATGTTTGCACTCACAACCATTGGTTTTTCTCCTGACAGGTACAGGACGAAGGAGATTTCAGCCAAAGACGGGAAGGACTTCATCGCAGTACAAGGAAAACTAGAATTTGACGAGGCGTCATGGAAGCTGAATACTGTGAGCAGTTGTTTCCCACAGCCACCGTGGCAGCAAATATGGCAACTTTGAGTGATCCTATTTGTGATTTACAAAAGGGGTTCGGAATGCTGGACAGAGACTGGTCTGTGAAAGTGGAATCGAAATGCCACCCTCATGGCCTTTCAATTTTCACAAGCCGTGTTAGACACGTCTTGCAATTTCACATTCCCATGCGACCACGATCAGGATGAAGATCAAAAGATTTTGTGCATCAAGATTCTTGATGATGATGAGCATGAGCCTGACACATATTTCGATGTTGAGCTCTCGGACCCCAAGACAGAGGACAGCAATGCGGGAGCCTTTTTTCGTTTCGAGTGTCATGCACAGAGACAGAGAGAGAGAGAGAGAGAAGTCAAGACTGGAAAGGAATGGAATGTGATACCGACAGGGAATGAGAGGAATCCAGAAGAATCAGAAGACCAGACGGCATGCCGAGGCTGTAGTCATTCTCGGGAAGAACAAAACAGCTCATGTGCGCCCAGAAAAGAATTGATGATGCTGTTGCATGCAGTTGCCATTTGAGTGCAAACACATTTGCCACGTGCTGTTTTGACAATCCAGGTCCGGATTGTTGACGATGACGCAGTCGGAATTCTGGCATTTAGATCAGCCGAAGAGAAGGCCATTTGTCATTGCCAGAATAATAACAGTGAAGTGACAGTATCACGAGGCTCATGAATGAGGGTAGATGGTATCAGATGGTATCAGATGATGTCAGATGGTATCAGATGGTATCTTTGTGCTTCCTCAAATATGCCTGCGAGAAAGTGCAGGTGGCAGAAGACTTTGCCGGTGAGAAGGCTCCTTGCACTGTTATCTTGTGCAGCCTTTGCTAAGTTGGTATTGGGCACGGTGTGACAAAAATGATTAATCTCGTTCACCGCAGGTCATCAACATTGCAGTGCTTAGGCAGGCAGGTGCAAAAGGGTCCTCCTGGCATTCTTTCAACCTTTGTGTGCGTTGTTGTCAAGCTTCTTGACTCGAGGAAAACATTTGCAGACTTGCAGGATTAATGAGTTGCGTGCAAGGCATGCCAAGTCAGTTTTCTCGTTGCAGCTATCATTGCAATCAAATCCAACTCTTAAGTGTAGCTGAGTCCTTGCAAGAATGGACCGTGCCGTGCCTTTGCATTCATGATTCCATTGTCGGGTCTTAAAGCTTTTCCAAGGGTTGAAGAATGCAAGAGGAACTAGACCAGTCACTGGATAGCTTCTAGCAGAAGAGAATCCCCATGTTACAGCGTGTCTGAGAGAGAGAGAGAGAGAGAGAGAGGGAGGGAGAATGTTACACCGTCTTCCCCCATCATGTCTTAAGCAGAAAAACTTTGCTTTTCCTTATCACAATGGCTCGCGTATATCAGCAGTATGAATCCTCTTCAAACCCGTGCGTACCATTTCGCACCACGGTCTGCGTTGCTGACCTTTGCTTGACTTCGTGTACCACGGTTTGAACTTGCATTCCCTCGTACCCTGCGACCGTTGCATTATCCAAACAGTAGCATTGCACACACCTTACAGATGCACATTATTTTGACATATTTTGACTATCAGATTCAGGTTTGTCTCAAAATCGGGGATACGCCAGACTTGTCCAAACCTTCCGTGGAAAACCTACTGTTAATGAGCTATTGACAATTAATGACCTCATGGGCAAACATTGGCAGCCTTTTTGATCCTCAGCGGAGTCTTGCCAGGTTAGTGACATGCACCTACCGAACCGAAGATGGCACGGCGATCAGTGGCATTGACTACGAAGAAGTCAGTGGCACACTGGAATTCCCAGATCAAGAGGCACGTGGCACATCTTGCACTGGGATGGGTGGGACAATGGCTGTGTGGTGCTTGAAATTGTGCAGACTGAAGCTTTCATCCCTATCACCATCAAGCCAAAGGGCCCACATCTGAGTTTACCAGCTTTCCGATTTTTGTACTTTCGGAGAGCTGTCTATGGTTCATGATGTCCTTGTGCAGGTGCTGTATCAAGTTGTTTGCGTGGATTGGTGGTGTCCAAGCTTGTGGCAATCTTGTCACGGAGCACTTGTTCCAATAGACGTTATCCATTGCGTGCTAAGGATGCTTTGATAGCACTTCAATTTTTAGGTTGTACATTGAAGAACCGCCTGGCCCTTATACAACAACTGGTCTTGATGGTCTTGCCGGAAGTGCTGGCCAATAAAAAGAGTTGTTGATCCAGAGACTCTCGCTGAAGTCTCTCTGCCCTGAACCCTGCTGTATTGTGTCGGGCGAGGACGGGAGGTGCAACCTTTGCACTCCACACTGATGGTGGCGAGGAGATACAGCATGGCAAAAAGCATGGTAGATTTTAAGAACACCCTTTTCCAGACATTTTCAGACCCGTTTAATTTGTGGAGATTCTTGGATGGCAGGAGTGCTGCATTTGTACCGTTATCGTTGGTACAGACGAAGGCACCAAAAGGAAGGCCGACAAACTCATGCAGGCCAGGGCGCTGGACGTTTCAGAACTCTTCAGACTGACGCAACATCCTTCGGTCACCGAAAGCTCCTCCCATTCTCCCCTTGAGACAGCCAGGCTTTCAAAGTGAATTGGGACGTTCAGATAATGGCCAGAGACAACTGGAAGGCAAGCTGAGTTTTGGAGTTTTTAAGATCTTTGAAGTCTCAGCAGTGATGCTTTTTGTCCAACATGCTGGCTCGTCTGTAAAGGATCAATTTGTTGATGCGATCTTTCTAGACACTGGGGAAGCAACGGCAGCAAGCTTAGCAAAGCCAACAGACTTAGGCAGACTTCAACAGTGTTAGAATCTGCAGAGACAGCACTCCTTCAGCCTTACTTGCCTTGAGGACTGTGCTGTCGCAGTGGCCTGGTTTTTCCACTTGGTCACGATGCCATGGAAGGCCCAGGGGGTGAGTCACATCATGCGGGCATGGGTCATTACTGGACAACCAAAAACCTGAACAATCTACCACTGGACTGGACCTGATCAGTTTTGTTGGGTCGATACCCTGAGTTTGACGCATAGTGATATTGGAATTGTTGAAGCGTTTTTGACTCTGCAGTGTCAGCCTTTCCATGCAAGGCAAACCAGTGCACTGTGTTAATCTAACGGGTCTTCCCTTTGCTGCCAGTTAATATTTGCTCTCATTCCACCAGCGCTACTCTCAGCTTTGTGGACCATGTTGCCATGGTACCCTGAACACCAAGCTGTCTCAGAGACAAGTCGAGAAAGCAAGAGAAAGCAAGAAAGCGAGCCCCTCATTGGACAAGGTCGACTACTGCGGCGGATGGCTTTGTTTCGTTTGCTCGTTATCAATGATTGGCGGAGTGACAGCTCTCATAGGTCTGAAGCTCAGCGGTGCCATGCATCTCTTGCGTTGCGTTTCTGTTTTTAGATGACTGAAGCGAATTGCACATGCCAGGTGATCTAGCTGAGCTTTGTGGCTGTAGACCTTGCTCGCTTTGCCCAGGGGCACTGACAGAATAGGAGAAGCATGTTGAGCATAGATGCATCCTTCAGCATAGTCGATGTGCACAAGGCGTAGTCTCCATGCCTGATGCCATCACCGCAATATCGTTGGTGGCGCTGGGTACCAGTTTGTCCAGAACTTAAATGCCACTGAGACAGCATGCATGCTTAGCCTCATGCTTAACCTGGGGGGATTGCACATTTTCCAGATTTGAAAGTGGTCTCTTGTGCGATTCAAACCAACAGACCCTTTAGATCGTCAGGCCTGACACATTTGCGTCAAAAACTGCAGCTGAGCAGGACGACATGCTTGACTTGGGATTTCAAAATGTATTCGTAGAGATTGCTCTAAGCTCTTATATGGACAGGGAAACAAACGTGGTTTCCTGAATGTTTTCCTATAAAAAATCATCCCATTAGCAAAGCTCGGATTTGCATCCTCCTTTGTGCTTTTGTTTCTCTTTCAATTGATTGGTGATTTGACCTGAAATCTGATTGAAATCCTCTGCAGGATCCGACTGCAGATGCATCCATTGGCAATGTAACTGGCAGCAACTCAGTGAACGTTTTTGCCTCAGCATGGCTTCTGAATATAGGGATCTTCACACATTCTGCATGCAATACCTTACTCCCACACTTGGTGCACTCGGTGTTGTTCCAGGTTTTCCTTGGGCTTGGCTTGCCCTGGACGATTGGAGCTATTTATTGGGCTGCCATGGGTGGCCTCAGCATGGCTCAAAATCCTCAGCTTACGACCATGTTTGCGACTGGTGGCATGGCAGGTGACCTAAGCTCAGACCACAAATGGTTTGAGAAATACTCGGGTGAGAGCCGGATCCTCATACTTTTCTGTGTGAAACGTATGCCTTGAATGCCTCGTCACATTTCGGTCGCATGCTGGATGATGCAAAATGCTCCAGAGTTGGGTGGATGAACATCTATTTACCAGCAAATTTAACTGTGAACTACACGCGGAATCCGGTGCCACTTGGATCCGAAGCAACGGTGGAAAGTTCATGGCGCAGGTGTGGTGGCAAATTATCCAACCGGCGGTGTGTTCGTAGTCCTTGGAGGAAACCTTGGCTTTAGTGTGCTGACCTCAGCAGCAGAGGATGTACACTTCAGAAATGGGAAAAACTTGGATGGAAAAAAGGGTAACAGTTTGGTAACATTGAAGAACCACCAAAGTCTTTGTATTCTCAGCGTTAGCTTAGGGGTCCCAGCCCAGACAAAGGTTTGGTGCGGGTTACGGGTTGGTAGGAGGTTCCGGTGCGGGTTCTGGGGTGGTTCTGCGAGGTTCCTCAGGTTCCGGTGCGGTTCCAGGTCGTTCTGGAGAGGTTCTGGAACTGGCGGGCTGGGGTGGTTGCGCCGCAGTTAGGCTTTCCGTTGTTCCAGGTGGTTCCGGGGAGGGTTTCGGTTCAGGTTCCCAGGGCGGTCTCGGTTCCAGTCAAAGCACAAGACACATTCTGATAGGCGGGCACTGGCTGATTTGGTCTTTCTTAGAGCCTTAAATTTTGATCCTTGCCGGTGTGACAAATACACGATTGTGTCAATGTGTCAATCAGGGCCATTTCTAACCCTTACATGCGTTTTTGCTAACCTTAACTTGTGATGTGTCAATACCAAGGTGGCCGTATTTTGCTGCTGCGCATCCTGTTGCATTCTGGTGCCTACCCGAGACTGAACCCTTCTAGTTGCTATAGTTGTGAATGAAGCGCCAGCCGTGGGAATTCTAAGTATCTCGACACTAGTTCCACAACATATCCATAACATATCCAGAACATGCCCATAACATATCCATAACATATCCAGAACATATCCACAACATATCCAGAACATATCCATAACATATGCATGATAACATATCCATAAACTATCTACAAAATATATAGGGGATGCTTCCATGGCCGAGGTGATTCTGCTGAGGAGATGGTTTGTCGGCGGTGAGCTTGGAGGACCAAAAGGCACGGCTTCGCTCGGCTTCTTCGCTTCGGCGCGTCATGACTGTTTTGAGAGTGTTTAACCATTGAAATGTTGTCATTCTCGAGTAAGAAATTGGGATTTAAGGAGAATATAAAACTTAACCATACTTAACCCATCTGGCCGTGTCCAAAAATTGTGGATGTGCCTCGAATATAATATATATATAAATATAAATATAATTATATATATATACACATATGATATATATATGTAACATGTATATATTAATTAAGTATATAATACTATATATATATATAATACAGCCTTTTTAATTACCAAAACAATGATAAATCATGGATTGAACGGGGTTTTCCCATAATGTTCAGACACATCCATTTCCTCCAACGATTTCGAGTTTGCCCAAAGTCATCTCAAACTTTATCCACTCCATGAAGCGTCGCATAGAGTCGCTTCCTCAACACATTTCCGGAACCTGACAGGAGCCATGTATGTTACGTCAACCTTTCTTGCTTCGGCCTCAAGAGTCGAGAGAAAATTTCTGGTGCCATGATGGATTCCGGATTCCTTGGATCTTAATGTGAAGCTAATAAGAAACCTCGTGGGGATGGGTTTTTCTGACCTTGTGGTGATGCTGTACCTGGAAGACCTTCAGACAAAGGCGCGCATTGCCTGCGCCGAGGTCAGCCTTTGGCTTCTCTATGTCGGCCTCTCCTCATGGAATGTTCTGACAAGTGGTGGTGATTGTTAAGGCGATTCTCAAAGTTCTGAAAGTTGAAGGTTTGAAATGCAGTAACCTTGATGGTTGTTTGAATGCTACTTGGTGCAGGAACGTCAAGTACGGCTTTGGCGTCCGTCAATCCCGAACTCTTAATTAACCGTTTCACATTCATCGATAATGCAGCATGTGTCACAACGGCAGCACATTCCGAGAGTGTTGCAGCCCCAGAAACTGTTTCAGCGAACTTTGTACGCGAATTCCAGTTCTATCCTCTGCCTCATTCACACAATCCTCTGACAAATCACACATTAAGATCTTCCAAATCATTGCTGGCCAGTAGAGCACGGTCGGCGGCCATATGCTCTGATAAGAAGTTTCGCAAAATTCATCCAAATTCATCCAAATTCATCCAAATTTGATGTTCAGGATTTTCGCTCAACAATACGATCAACTTCAACAAAAAAGAGGACAGGTCTGAGGATTTCAAGGGGAGTTTGAGGCATCTGGCATCATCTCATTGCCAAAACGCAATGGGAACGCCATCTTCGTGGTCGGCTAAGTCCGCAGCCCACAAAGTTTGGGCGACCCTTCCCTGGTCGGCAAATTGCCGCACACCTGGTTGGGATACGCTCGGTCACTGAGCGCGAAGGACAGGGAGAGTTTTTATTGCGCCCAAAGAAGAACCGTCGGATCTTCTTGGAAGACATTGGAACACATACGGTAATTCACAGAATATGACTTCAAGCAGCAACTTCTGTGATGTGTAGACCGTGGTAGATTCATCCGTTGGCCATGCTTTTTTTTCGGGGCAACTGCCCTTTGAGTTGAAGGTGTTTCTCACTCAAGCAACTCAGGGTAGTAGCAGCGGCTGATGGTGTAGGTACTGCGGATGGAACTCAGGCGAACTGGATGAAGCAGTTGGCACACCTTGTGTTTCTTCTGGGTGCTGCCGCAGATTCTGCAACTCACGTTTGGCTGGAGCGCAACTCTGACACTCGGAGCAATCTTAGCTTTGAGGTGTTTGTCAGAAGAGCTTTGGGGGATGGCAGTTAGAACGTGGTTGGCAGCGTTAGACCTGGGGTGAAGGGAACTTTTGTGAGCACATGGATGGTTTATCAATTTAGGTGCATTGGTATTTTTATTCCATCTACTGAAGAACTGCCTCTTTCAAATCTAAAGGAGGTTCGTCGCATTCTTTATCAGGTGTCACTTGAGTGAGATCCTATGAGCTGCCAGTCATGGGCTGGCTTCCTGCAAAGCGTGATTTAAATAAAGATGCTAAAGTCCGAAGTGCTGTTAGGCATATATGATATATGCTACTTTTTTCCATTTGTGAAATTGACTTGAATTCCTTTGCTGCAGGATGGAATTGCCAGCACTGAATCTGTCTCCGTGGATGAAACAGTGACTGTGCGCTGGGATCATTTTGTCAACGGAGACAAGGGATGGTATTCATGGGGCTTTGTTCGAGAAAGCCAGACCAACAATTTCTTGGGTTCTGTCACAGGCAACACTCAGCCAACAGGATGTTTTGCCTGGCAAGTCCCTTCCAAACTCTGCGGACGACTCATCAAGATCGAGATGTGCAGTGGCAGCCCCCCTCGGCGGACGAAGCATGCTTGCCACAAGTCCACAGCCTACAGGGTCGAAGGGACTTGCGTGCCAGATGTTCCACAGCCCACAACGACGACCACCACCCTCTTTGCTGCCTTGAAGGAGATGGGTCCACTGGATCTTCGGTCTAGATCCCGCAGCTGGAAGCAAGACACCAGGGCCTCCAGGCGGATGGAGATGGTGAACACGGTGAACCAGGGCCAGGAAGATTTCTCAGTGGCCTTAGTAGTGGTTTGGCTGGGAAAGTTACCACCATATGTCAGGGCCTTTGTAAAAAGTGCACAGGATGCTGGTGTGAGCTTCTTCATTTTTCATACCCATGCTGAGCTTGATGAGCTTGGCAAAGAGACTCCAAGCAATGTCAAGTTCCAATACATGCCTTTGGAGGAATTGGCAAAGAGACTTTGGAAGATTGATGCGGTGCGCGGGCACTTCAATCTAGATTTCGATGCGTTCACCCAGCGAGTTCAGGAGTGTTACGCTGACGACAATCCTGCGAAGGGGAATGACTTGAAACCTTTGTATGGCGCACTTTTCCAGGAAGAGCTTGCAGAATTCACACACTGGGGGTGGACTGATTTGGACATGATTTGGGGGAATGTTGGAGCTTTCCTGAAGCCCCTTCTCTCCTATGATGTGATCTCTGCTCCTGATGGTCAGAGACCTGCTCTATACCTGTCTGGGCAGCTAACAGTTTTTCGAAACCAGGACATTTGGCGTAGATTTGTGGATGGCTGCATCGATGGTCCTGGACATGTCAATTATGGTGGTTGCTACGTTGAAAGTTTTCTCTCAGAGGCAAATGTCTACTTCGATGAAAAGATTGCCATTTGGTATGCTGCTCTGCAAGGGGCGCATATGTTTTTTGATTTTTCACTGATCTTGACCGACGCCAGATGGCAGAGGCTTGCAGGGCACCAACGACCACTCTTGAAGCGTCGCGATGGGCGCTTGGCTGTGCCGCATATGAATGGGCTCCCCTTTGTAGACATTGAGCAACGCAACATGGAGGTGCATATGCTGCAGAACGTGAGCAACTGCTTCAGTGAGTTTGGTGAGGGATGGAGCTATGTGTGCATCCCATTCGATGTGGGAAGTGATGCTTTTGGTGCATCTTATGAAGTTTTTCAGAACTACTTGTACCTTTGGCCTGCACCACTCCATGCTGTGAAGAGCGGAAGCAGCGGAAACGAGTTTGCAGCATTTCACTTGCACAAGAGCAAGCGAGCCTTTCAGGTTTATTGTGCTGAAAACCACATTGTGCTGAAAACCACAGCTTTTGAACACAGCTTCAGAAGTCATAACTGAGAATACCAGAAATGGATGGTTTAAAAGGTTTCTAACAAGTTTTGCATGTAGCAGTCTTCAGTTCAACCATTTGGCCCCCCCCAGACATGCAGGATCTATTGGACTGCGGAGCAACTGGTAGCTGGTTGTGCTACAAAGAGACGTCCAAAGTGACGGAGCAGAAAGAGCCCAGCGTCGGAACAGTCTGTAGCTGTTCGGAGTCTGATGAAACCGGTGCAATCACCAGGATTGTGCCGACTTTTCCTATCCCAAACATCGTACACTTCGTTCTGACTGATCGGGACACGCGATTTTTTGATTGGCCGTGCTATGTTGCGATTCGAAGTGCTTGGGAGAAGCTGCAACCTGAACAACTCCTGGTACATGTCCTGGATGGGATTGAGCCGGGTACGGCAGCTGACTGGTGGCTCGCAGCAAAGCAATATATCACAGCAGTTATTCCGTTTGCCCGAACAGACGTCCCTTTGTCTCTGAATGACGTGAAAATCAGCCACCCTGCATTCATTGCAGACTTCCGACGCATTCAAATACTACGTGACTGGGGAGGAATTTATATGGACACCGATGCGTTGTCCCTTCGTAGCTTTGACAGTCTCAGAAGCTGGAAAGCTGTACTTGGGCGCCAAGGAGGCCAAGAGTTGCGGGCCACAGTTGGCCTCATGATGTTTGAGAAGAATTCCCATTTTTTGGATACGTTGCTTGAGCGCATGAAACGTGCCTACACTGGCGCTTGGGGAGTTCATGCAGGGTGCCTTGGAAGATATTTTGAGACACAGAAGAGACTACGAAGTCTGCTACTGTCCAGTCTCCGTGGAGATCTAGTCTTGCATTTTTTTTCATTTTCCCATATTTTCCCCAATTTTTTTCCTCCTGATTTACCAAGTTACTTTGGAACATTTTGTACAAGGCATGTGTTGGACGATTTGCTTCGAGAAGTGCAGCCCAAAGGAGTTGCAATTCTGGGGCACAGCAACGGTTTTTTCGCGTCGTCCTGGCTGGCAGAAGATTTTGTTGAGCTCATGGAGGAGTCTGGGGTGGACTGGAGCAGGTGTTGGTCTTTGCATCTCTACAACTCCCAGACCAAGACCCTCGCCGCATTTGGATCACTGAATTCGCATGGACTTGTGATAACAAAAGGACCTGTCAAGCTACCAGGTAGGCATGCTCTTTCCTCAGCGTCGGAAATTTAGAGTGACCAGAAAGCTGAATGTTTGTAGTTCACATGACAATCGTCTCACCTTAATATTTCCAACACTTGATGGATATGTCTGCAATGTCTACCTGTCAAGAGGTGTGAGAAGGCGAGACAATCTGATGATGCATTATGAATGTTTTTTGAGCCCTGCGTTTTTCAGACTGCTTGAGGAAGTATACAAAAGATCCGGTGGAACTCTGCCAGAACCCAGCTTCACCATATCGAAGAGGAGACTTGTGCAAAGGATTAGCCATTGCTGTAGTATCTCGGCAGCAAGTGTTGGTCAATGAATGATGTTGCCCGACAGGATGTTGACTTCCGCTTCGATATTTTTGGATCAAACTGTAGGCTTCTCTGGGCAAATACGCTAATTTTTGATTTTTGTAATTGGCGATTCGCTACACCGCTATCGTTCTTTGTCCATTGTTCTTTGTCCAAGGATATGCAACAGATTTACCGCATGGTTGGTGAAGGCTATCCGCTGATGAGCAGTGCCTTAACTGCATGTGGTTTGCCAAAGCTACTTGCTTTGGCAGACTTTTTGAACTTTGTGTCCTTTGCATTTCTTCGTGTCACTGGTTACACTGGTTGCTAGATTGAGTGTACTTGTTCAGCTCTGACAGGTCGGATCCAAGAGGCTTTCGAGCAAAGAGCTGCAGATCAACAAGCTGCATTTTCGGATCCGGCATCTTAGCATCATCTTAGCTCATCTGAGCTCCAAATCTTGATTTTCATGATTTTTCTCCGACGGTCCGTGGAGCAACATGGAGCAACTGGTGCCTGGACTTGCTGAGGTGTCGCACTCTTTGGATGTTCAGCGGGCCTTGAAGGTGCCCACAAATTGCCATGCAGATCCATGCAGCGTGTTGTGTGTTCTTTGGTTGTCATGCCCTGGGTGGATTGTATACCAGTGCGGGATGGTCATCAATCCATTCATGGCGATTTTATGCGATTTTAAATTGACTCCTTTCCCATAGTGGGATGGATGACCCATACCCCTAGTACAGCCCATTAGTCCATATTAGTCGCATGTTTCGACCATGGCCAGATGTGGCTTTCAGGCGAATGACGAGCTATGAGAAGCCGATCTGCAGGTGATTTCTCCGGCGCCATTGGAACCACTGGGAACCACTGGGAACTTTGGAGCGGTAAACGTGGACACAGCTTTGGGGTCGGGAGATTTGGAGCTTCAGAAAAATTTGGAACAAAGGCAGTCCGTCGTGGAAGCTTCAGGATTCATCATGATGAAAATCATGATTCATGACATCAGGATGCATCAGTGATACCATCTTTCCAAGATGAACATAGCGATGAACATATTCCAACGCATCACTTGGACTCGGGTTCGGACATGCAGTATGGCCAGTATGGCGCCCCAAGCGGCAGGGCTGTCGCGCGGTGGCATTTCTCGGGGTGGACAAAAGGGAATGCTGCTATATGAACACTCTAAGCTGAGGGAAAGCGTTGTTGCATGCTTTCATTTGTTTGTTGATCCAGAGGATTGTTCAGTCTGATTTGGCATCAAAGCAGATTGCTGAGATTTTGGAGATTTGCACGAAACATGCCAAGCAGGCACTCTGATTCAATGGGTTCGAGAGCCTTTGCACAACCACACAACACGTGGAATGTTGCAGGCTTGTTGTTGCATTGTAGATGTTGCAGAAGCCACTTGTGGAAAAAGTTTAAGTCTCCAAAGGAATGTGTATATTTTTCTGAAATTGCCCAAGTCGCGCCCAGCGCAGCAAGCTATAATTCCCGTTTCATGTGCACTCCGCATCATTTTTGAACAGCCACCAGAACGTGCGCACCCGACGCCATGTCAACCAGGGGAGTCTTTTCCAAAGGCCCTGCCTATGTGCCGCTGGAGGTACCAGCCTTGGAAAAATCAAAGAACAGGAGTTCAGCAAGAATCAAAGAAAAAAACCAGAAGAAATGACACCTTTCTCCAAGAAGTTTGTGACTTTTCAGGATACTCCAAGATGCAAAGTCTGACAAGTGATGTTGGGATATGTTGGGTTTCAATTCCTCCCATCTGGGGTGACTTGTTGAGCTCCGGAGGGGCTTCAACTCGATCCCGTAAAACAAACTGATAGGATCTCTACTGTAAATTTCAAAACGGCCAGGCATGCACGGAATAGAACCCTGAACCCATCAAAATGTTGGAACCCTGGAATGCATTGTAAACCCGGAGACCTACAATCAGTGAGCTCTTGAGATCTTGGCTCTGAAGCAAGAACATAGCCTTGCTGTTGGGTTTCTGCAGGGAGGCAACAGGGAAACTCGCTGTTTGTTTTCCAGGTCCATAGGATTTCAATGGATTTCGGCTCGGTTTCATCACGGCGGCTATTGAATGACCGCTAGGGCCAAAGCCATTTCTATCCACCCCATTTCTCTGCAAGGTGAGCACGCAGGCGGCCCAGGCGGAGGAGGACTTGGAGGATGATCCTGTGCCTTGCTGAAAACGATGCAGAACTCCAAGGTAGAATTCATGAAATCGTCTCCAGATCTAAGCTTTTGGGTGCATTTTTCTGAAGGCTACTATACGGTTTTCTATTGGCTTGATAAAGTGACATTTCTGAAATGTGACCTTGTGACTCTATGTTGTATCAGGTCAACTATCGGTATCGACCATTCAGTCTCGAACTCATTGTGCACATTGTATTGTGCCAAAACACAGAAAACACTACACGATACCATACACACACATTGATTCGGTTCCTCAAGTTTCGCAAAGCAAAAACTTGGTACAACATGGTGCTTGCCACATCTTCGATCTGCGGATTTGCGACCAAGGTCAACGGATGGCACGGAGACGTTCTCGTCCGGTCTGACTCCTAACATGGAGTAGACTTGTGATAGACGCGTTTGCGGGAGGGCAAGCCTCAGCTTGTCTGCAGCTTTTCAAAGTAATGGCGACTTGTTGTGGTTTTACCATGGTTTTACCATGGTTTTATGATTTTATACTTTCGCAGTTTGGCTTAGCGTTCCCAAAGCCATAGGCTTCGAAGCGCGATTCCCCGAGGCGAGAAATTGGTCGCCACTTGTTGGAGGTGCCAACATGTTTCAATCGTCGGAACTATAAGCTGTACAACAAGATAGATATAGGAACTGATAGAGAAGTAAGATCCTACTGAAATAGCTTTTGGTCTTTTTGGAGTTGCTGTAGATACTATTGCATATTTTGTGGTAGCCCTAGAACTAAATCTACGTCGAAGGCGTGGCAATCGCTTTCGTGGTAGCGGCTGTAGCGTTGTGGGGATGGGCTTTGGTGCCAACCTCAGATCGGCTATGGACGAGCCATATGACCATATGAGGATGGCGTATTTGTGTATTCCAAAGCTAAAATCAGTCATGAGGTATTGCTCTTGGTGCGTCTAAATGCGCTACGATCACCGCATGAACAGCCGCAGATGCTCGATTTGCAGCAGGTTTGGCCCGGATGCCTGTGAGATAAAGCTCAAACATTTGACAGTTGGTAGCATTAGTGCCACTCCCGCCAGGGTTCTGGCGAAACAGACATGTCGATACACGAGTTCACCATTCGCAGGAGAAGAATGGACCATATGGACCTTTGCCAGCTCCTGCAGTCACTCACATGCATACATGATGCATATATAAAGGTTTCCATAAATGCGGCTACCCCATTTATCATCCATTTATAGATGGAATTTCCACGAATTTTCATTATAAACCGTCCATTTTGGGGTACTCCCATTTGTGGAAACCCCCATGTGATGCATATATTATGCATATTGGATTTTCTGCAGCCTGGATGATTCACAAGATCCCTGACCACGTTATCAGAGGTAACCGAAGTGCTCGCGTTGCCCGCACCGGAATCTGACTGATTGCCGCGCGCGCCGCGCGATGAAAACAGGACCGCTGCAGATTTACGTATATATATATATAATATATGTATATTTGGACAGTGTTTGCAGATGGAAGCTTGATTGCCGTGACATCGTTTGCACACAGAAGTTTCCAGAACTGATTCAAGCGTTAGTAATGCACACAAGCCAGTGAAAGCAGAAAAACAATTTGGCGCTATCATTGCTAATGTCAACCCGCGATTAAAACACCCTGGTCCAGTGCATAAAACAGTCCAGGGATATATGAAGCCATAGTTGACACAATATCCAAATAGTTTTGTCGTCAGAGTCCTTTGTGTGAACATGATCTGATATTATCTGAGTCCAGCATCAGTTTCATTTTTCATCCTTTGCCATTTGTTCCATTTGTAACGCCCCCCAAATGGGACCCCAACATGAAGTGACCCAGAACACAAGCAGATTTTCTGGGATGCTGGAGATCAGAAGCTCAAGGTCTCTCGACTGATCTCAGCCAGCAGACATGACCAATTCATGACCAATACTTAGTTGCAGTAGTTGCAGCTATGACGTCCTATGCCAAGGCAGAGGGCATTTTCGTTTCAGTGTTTTGCTTCTTGAGATATCTTGACAGTGAAACATGCGACTTGGAGGGCGACAAAGTGGAGGTTTGGAGTAACTCCCAAAAGGCGAGAGAAGACTTGTCCTTGAAGCAATCTCAGAGTTGGCAGCAAAATGTTGTGCACTTTCTTGGATCCGACAGTTCTTGGAGAGACAGCTCAAGTTGGATTGTCCAGGCATGGTGCACAGATGGTCTTGTTCTCGAGGCATGGGATATGTTTTATTTTGAACATTGAAAGAGTTCTGAAAGAGTTGGACAGTAGTCCTTTCATGTACGCGGTCTTTGCTGCAGGTAAAATCACTTCAGTTGGGCTAAAAAAGTCATACATCAGAGTCTTTTCTGCAGCTTGCATGTGGCAGGCCCCTCACATTGATTGCGAGATCGATGGATACGCGATTCCTGCAGGCATTTGTAGATCTCATCAGTGTGCAGTTAGCTGGATGTTGCTGGAACTAATCCGTGTTTTCTGCTTAAGGTGCGGTCAAAGTAACCTCATCTGCTGGAACCAAATGGATTCTGCCTGACCAAGTGGCAGAGGTTCTCCGAAAGCCATGCCGGCTCAGTTGCAGGGCCATTCACCAAGCTTTCTTCCTGAGCTTGATCAGTACGCTCTGGAAACAATTGAACCTCGAAACGGAAAACGAATGAGCATCCTTTATGTCGTGATCTCTAGAGATGAATTTTGCATCAAAGATAGGCATTTGCCAGGATTCCCAGAGGGTAGGTTCCCGCCATGGCCATGTCAGGGTGCAAGGCGATGGATTGGATCCCCTGCCCACTCCGGCCTTAACTGGGCCTTCTTCACCGCCTGGAAAGGAAACGAGGCGCGCGTCGCCATGGATGGCAGTTAGTGACATCTTTGGCCATTTTTGATCTCCCATTTTTAGAGACATTTTTTGGTAGTCACAAAGGTGGAGCAAAGGTGTTGAGGCGATCCTGATGGGCCATTGCGAAGGTCTGGCATGTGCAAAATGGGCTGCAGCCGGCCAGTGCAGCCCGGATTGACAAGGCGTTTGGGAGGGATGAAAAGCAGCCGCGGGGCAAATAGATTTGGCCCTGCCAAACTGTGGACGCACAAATCCTCAAACATCATCTTTACACATGCTGTATATTGCGAGTTCTGTAGCTTTCGCAGCTTGACCCTCCAAAAATTGCTCCAGGGGAATGAAGGCCTTTGACACCTGCTGCAACTTGGTGAACATCACTCACATCGAAAAACAAATAAGATCTGCATCCGGCTTCCAGATGTAAGGCAAGAAATGCGCTCAAGGGAAGGGAGGGCACGATGCCAATTGTCTTTGCCTCAGTTTGTGGAAGAATCTGGCTCTCGCATCTGCAAGTGTTGCCCTTGTTTCATTGGCCGCATACTGCGGGAAGCCCAAGAATAAACCATAATAAACCAGCAGGTATGGATGATGCGCATATACAACCCATTTCGGATAGATGTTGTGCCCTCAGGTGGTGGCTCTGCAGCACCCTTGGGGCGAAAAGATACCAGTCTTCTGGAAGATCCCAGGCATTGGGACTAAAATCAGGAATTTCCTGGATTTACATTTCATTCTTTGGCACCTGATGATTCACCAGATGGGGAGTATACACCATAAAAGGGCTACGCCCTCTGCCGCCGACCCCTGGAGGTTCAGGTCTGCATGAAATTCAGTGCACCAACTGACGCTGGTGCAGGTGTGCAATTCCTCTTTGTGGCTTGCCTTTTTGTCCTTCCACCATGGCAACAAATCATCCAATATGTATCTAATAATTAATTTAATATTCCACTTATGGCTCATGACGCATACACACCATCTTCCGGAAAGCACGTTTTTCTGGGTGCATAGATCATGGGAATCATTGAATCATTGAATCATTGTGGGTCTTCACACAGAGGCACAGGCTGTGGATATCAATCCTGCCAGATTCAGACCTTTCCAAGGAGTGCCACACCGAAACACCATGCCACTGAAGGACGGACCAGGCCGAAGGCCTGCGGCTGCCTCTGCTGAACCGACAAGAAATTATAGCTCCAAATTCAAACCTCCAAAACGTTGGCTTCCCCATACCGAAACACCATGCCACAGAAGGACGGACCTGGCCTTCCGCCTGCGGCTGCCTCTGCCTAGCGCCGCCTTCTGAACTGACACTTCAAATTAGAGCCTTCAAGCCTCCAAAACGTTGCCTTCGCCACGCCGAAACACCATGCCGCTGAAGGACGGACCTGGCCTTCGGCCTGCGGCTGCCTCTGCCTGACGTCGCTTTCTGAACTGACAAGAAGTAGCTCCAAATTGGAGCCTTCAAGCCCCCCAAACTCCAAAACATTGCCTTCGCCACAACGAAACACCATGGCCTTCCGCCTGCGGCTGCCTTTGCCTAACGTTCCTTTCTGAACCGACCGCCACACCAAAACACCATGCCACTGCAGGGCGAACCTGGCCTTCGGGCTGTGGCTGCCTCTGCTTAACGTCGCTTTCTGAACTGACAAGAAACTAGCTCTAAATTGGAGCCTTCAAGCCTCCAAAACGTTGGCTTCGCCACACCGAAACACCATGCCACTGAAGGACGGACCGATGTCAGCAACCCCCAAGCCTCCAAAATGCTGGCTTCGCCGCTTGGTTTTTTATGTCTTTCTGGCTCTTGCGTCTTGCCTCTTGTCTCTTGCCTCTTACTCTTTTCTGTGCTTTCTATCTTCTTGCTGCATCTCTTGTCCCCTCTTCTCTGACGTGCTCCCCTGTTGTCGGCACGGTTCGGCGGATATATGTATATATATATATGTATATATATATATGTGTATATATATATATATATCACCACATTTTCACAGGCCCCGTGGACCTGTTGGATGCAGGTCCTGGTTGAATGGCTTGCTCTCCTCGGAGGAACGGTTGTGACACGGGTGAACGGTCCAGATGTCGAGATGTTGGCAGTTTTCCGTGACAGGAGACGTTGAACAAACACGTAAGCAAAGCGGGGACGCTCAGATTGAAATCATGTGACCATGAACGTAGCTATGCTATGCCATGCTGGGTTCCATGAAGCAGGTTAACTTGATGTTAGACTCCTTTGCCTTGATTCAATGTGGAACCATGTGCATGTGTCTGAAAATGGGGTGCTTCAACTCATGGTTTATGAAGGTTTATTATCACTTTCCCTATTCCAGTGACCATCTTGGGCCGAGTCTCGGGTATCCGCCATTTTTTTGGGCAAACCGACCCCTGCCGTAGGTCCTGGCAAGCGCTGGAAAGGATGGTTCTCTGACGGCTGAGCTGGCCAAGGAGGCCGCAACACCGTGGTGAAACCTGGCACCTACCGTGAACTGGGGATGGTTGGAATCCCACCCGTCAAAACATGGGTGATGTATTGGGGTTGGTTTATGAAATTGGGTTTACCACATTATTATTCAAAATAGGGCTACAAACTGCTATAAATGGGGTACCACCCCCCAATTCCACCAGTTTCAAGACGAACAGTTGAATTTATTCAGCCTGGAATCTCCTGCGGCTCAGAAATTGAGAGTTGTTCTCTAAGAACGGGACTACAACATCAAACTGATCATCAACGAAACTAGCATTGCAGATGAACTGCCAGGGGTGTGACATTCTACAGAGCTGTCAGGTTTCACTTTTAAACATTTGCACTTGTGCCTATCCTTTTTTAAACAATGTCGGATCCTCCGCCACCTCCTCCGCCACCACCTTTGACCTTACACAGGACAGAGCATATGACGCTGAAGTTGAGTAAGACCAACAGACAAACTGCGAAGCACAGTGAATACCTTGTCATGACATGAGGTTAATGGAATCTGAATGTGGATGACTCTTGCAAAATTCAACTGTGACCCGTTGCAGGACTGTGTCTGCAGGTGGCATTCCAGTCTTCCGTGGTGGCAACTTGATGCACTACTCTCTTCCTGTACAACGTACAACCATTTAAAACGACTTGACACCGCTATATTGCATTGACTTGTTTTCAGGATGCTAGACAACAGCCGCATATGCAGACTTGAATAGATACATGATACATACAAATATACTGTTTATGAATGTTTATGAGTGGTCGACACAGACTTTGCGGAGCTTGTCGAGGTGACATCATTGTGAAGCATCGACCAGACTTGAATTTCGATGGTCTTAGACCAGCCCCGGATCGTGTGCTTGGCTCAGCTCAGCTCATTCCATAAGTTGGTGCCGTCAGCGTCCAAAGCCTTGAGGTTTGGTTTGGAAATATGACCTTCGAAGTGGCCCGTGAAGAGTGGACAGTTTGGATCTCGGGAATGCCTTGAAGGAATGCCATGAAACCTGAAACTTCACTTGACCACGGTTTTTTTGCTAGGGAAGCGATGATAATGTAACAGCTTCCATAAGAACTTCTTGTGCTTGAGCCATGAAGAATCAGCATGGTGGTGCACTGCTCTTTAATTTTACAGGGTTGGTTCAACGGCATTGGTTGGTGCCAGCAGGAGTTGTGTTATCGATTTGGAATGTGCAATTTCATGTGACAAGGCGTGAGGGACAGTTTTTTGAGTGCATTTGGAGGTAGCATTGTTTGATTATTTTGATCTGAGCTGTCACAATGGTCGGAAGTCTTGGGTGGGTTTGCGTTGCTTGTGCACTGAGGTTGACAAGTTCCTGATCCTTAGCTGCCTTAGCTGCCGTGGTGCTGCGTGTACTCAACATGGATGACACATGATGTTTTCGTCCCAGAGTCACATCTATCATGTGTGACAGGAATTTCGGGGCAGAAGGTCAGACGTACCTGGTCACAAGGATAGCTCCGGTGCACAAAGTTCTTGCCTTCAGCAAAACCTTTCATAAAACATTCTGGAGTCGCTTGTAACATCTTCTAAGCACTGTTTCGGTTCGCAGGACGCAGACAGGGGAGAAGTTTGCTGCAAAATTTTGCACCAAAGAAGATTCCATGGAAGTGAACATCGTTCAAGAGCTCCCTCGTCAACTTGTGACGCACGAGAACTTTATCAAATATGAACTCATTGTGCGAGACTCAGAATCACATCACACACACACACATCACACACGCACAATACTACTTGCCGAAATTGGAAAGTGTGGAAACGTGTAATTCGGACATTGCTTCATGTTGTGTTCTCAGTAGCAACCAATGCTGTACTTAGCTTAGCTGAAAACTTAGGTCTTGAATGTCCATGAGATTTTCGCTCCGGCACATCACATCATTTTCATGGAGCACATTCCGAATGGAGAACTCTTCGACGTCCTGGCCTCACAGGAGCCGAGCGTGGCTGGGAAGCCTCTGGCTGAGGGTACTTCCAGACGCATCTTGCGGGATGTCATCAGTGGAATGGCCGAGTGCTACAGATTCGGAGTGACGCACCGGGACTTGAAGTGGCTGCCTCAGAGTTTGCCACGAATTTGGCGAATGTTTGATCGTTTTTGAAGCGACTTGTATCCTATTGTGACGAACGGTGTTCTGAAAGTCGCTGTTTTGCTGAGAAAGCTGAAAGTGTTCTGACTGAGCCCTCTTTCCTGTGAGATTAACTTTCCTCTTGTGCAAAAGCTGGGTGATTAAACATGAAACTTTCGTTGCAACAGACTTCAACAGACTCCTCGTTTTTTCCTTTAGGCCAGAAAATCTGTTGATCAACGAGCATGGGCGCATCGTCATCATCGACATGGGCCATGCGAAACGAGTTGCAGCTTCTGGAGCTCCCAGTCCGTTGGCCCTCTCCCGGACAACCACGACCAATCCCTATGGAACGCCAGCCTTCAATGCTCCTGAGGTGTCTGGGGGCAGGGCATATGACTGTGAGTGGGCTGATGTGTGGAGCGTGGGAGTCATTGCATTCTACTTGCACGGTAAGCTCCCAGCATTTAATGCTGGTGGAGGTGTGGCTGATTGGAAAGATGTCAGTGGACCCAACAATGATCTGCTCTGGCGGAAGATCATCACCTCCGGCTACTATCCTGTCTTTCCGGAGGAACTGAAAGGCTTCATCAACGCCTTGTGGCGACTGGATCCAAGTGAGAGGCCCAGGTTTAGCCAGTTGGAAAAAGCCATCACAGCGGATGATGACGTGATTCGGGAATTCCCAGGCTTGCAATGGCTTGCCCGGCCGGTCAATGAAGTTGAAGGCTTCATTGATGAGCTTTCGCGCAGCTGTCCAAACAATACGTTTCACCCTCCTGGTGGAGGTGCTAAGAGATGGTAGCGACGGACAGAGAATTGATTGAAGGGTAGCTGCCCACTCTCCACAGGTTTCATTTGTTGCAATCTGTTGCCCTGCGGTCAAAAAAAGGCCAAGAGATTCGGCGCCATCTTTCAACAGCTGCTTCGACTGTAAGAACTTGGAAGCCTGCAGAAGAAATCTTGGAGCGCTTCTGCGTTCTTGCATTGTTGTGCTGTCGCGTCAGGCGGTTTCCCGTCTAGCTCTCAGTCGCCATGTTGGCATCGCTGATATGATCATCCTGGAGCAGTTCAGGACATCTTTTGCAGCCCATTGGCATCACCTTGCAGGCGACCTGCACTGACTATATCTGACTTGTGGATACTTATGGATACTTATGGAGTGTTTAACGCCAACGTGGCGTTTTCGCATTTTCCGGGTTCGCGCAGGTGAATGACCGCGCGGCTTCAGAGTGGGTCTCAACTTATGGCACGGGAGGCCGGGCAATAGTCAGACAAGTCAGTCTGCTTATCTGAAGAGATCACTCACATGACTCGTTGGGATACTCAAGGCTTGGGCAATGTTGGGCAGGCGTACTGGACAAAGCAGCTTTTACCAAGCTGGCACAAGTGTTGATACAGGTTTGGAGCTTAAGCCTGGAGCTTATGGCAAGTCGAAAACAAACTATCGCCATCCAGTGGTGAGGATCGACTGCAAGCATGGTTCCCCGAGAAGCTCTGTGCGCAGATCCACAACTTTGTTCGCAAGACCGGGATTTGTGTGAGTCGATATGATTTAGCGAAATTAAAGATGGGGTGGTCACGGTTAGTCCAATGATATCTAATAATAGCATATAATAGCTATTTAATATGCAGTACTGGTATACGCCAAGTTTATGGCCGTTTTGAATTGAAACACATCTATATAAACTTACATGGGAAAAGGATCTGATCAATGATCAGATTTTGTGATATACCAAAAATCTTCAGATTGGCAGACAGACCAAATAAGGATCCCATAGGTTTGGTTTCCTTGGATCATGAAGGACATGTTGTTTCCATTTGTTTCCCACATCTGCCTGTGGGTGTCGCCTTTGTTTCCACCAGGAACCCTGTTGCTAACGTCGAATCTGTCTATGAAGTTGGACGGCTCCTAGGCAAGGCTGTGAGTGAAAGACATGGTAATCCCCAACCAGATAGAAAAGCAAAACTAAAACAGTGGTAAATTATGGTAAATTGATGTAAATCGAATCTTTTCTATATATTCCTTTTCTATCCTTTTGCGGGTTACTATTCCCTTAAGTAAGACTAGACGTGTGGAATTCAGGAGAAGGCAGCTTCGGAAAAGTGTATGATGTCAAGCTGACGCCTCAATTGTGAAAAAGATTTGTGTTTGTCCAAAAACCCACTGGTTTAGTATGGACATTTGGGTATATATACATCATCTTCTTCAGACTCACCTTGGTATTTTGTTTAAGTTCTATCGAAGCACAGCGGCGATCGATACTGAGCCCTGTCTCGAACTGAGGCACCGCGTTTCGGGTGAATCCCGCGTTTGCAAGAAGATTGCCAAGCTGAAGGGGACCGCCGGAACTCTGACATTGGAGAGCTCCCAGAGCTTCTGCTTCACTGCTTCGGTTGTTCCATGTTTTTTTCCAGGAAAATCGGTATGAAGGTGGAAGAGATTCTACAAGAGATTGAAAGCATGGCGATGTTGGATCACCCCAATGTCATCAAGGCTGGCAAGCTCGGTACTCGGGAATCCAGTGGCTCTTTTGCTGCCTGCGGACTGCCCATTGGGTATGGCGAGTGTGCAGCCTTTAAGAAAACGTGACACATGCGTGCTGCAGGTCTATGAATACTTTGAAGACAAAGAAAGTGTCTCACAGATCATGGAGCTTGATGCTCGGCCACCAGACTTCTTGATTCTTTGCAATCTCTACCCTTAAAGTTACTCAAGCCTTCATTGCGCCTCGAAAGAACTTCAATCAGCCAGAGCTGAAGCTTTCCTCAGGCCTTGCTGTGGAGGTGAGTTACAAGACAAAATCAACGACGTGTTTCAGCTAGAAGCTCAATGCCCTAAACGAAAGGAAAGGAGTCGACACTGGGCGAAACCAACAATACAGTGCGCGTTGCAGATCTAGCTTTTCTGCGTTCAGAGCTTGTCAAGACACCATTCTTGAGATGAGAACAATATGCTGAGACTTTTGAGGAAGGGACAGCCGAGATATGCTGAGACTTTTGTTTGCGATGTCATGAAGCAGACTCTGAGAGTCTGCGGCCCAGTCAAGCTGCGCAAATTCCAAAAAGAAGAGGAAAATCATGGAAAATCACTCCACATTTCAAGACTTTGAGAAGCTTCATGCGATTTATGCTGATGCTATTTAAGACAGTCGAAGTTATTAAGGCACTTGCTTTCATGCACAGCCACAACTTCATGCACAAGGACTGATTTTGAAGCGACAGCAGGAAGGTGGTCATGTGGTCACTGCAGTGGTGGTATGGTCCGTCCAGGATCTGAAACCGCAAAACATCATGTTGGCCGAGTCCTTGGAATGGGACTTGAATGACTTGAATGGTCGTTGGTATACTCCAGTTTATAGCTGAATGCTATTGATATTGAGGATTATGATAAACCACGGGAGTTTTGGGGTACATACTCTATATTTCAGACCTATTTTGTACCCAGGTGAGCAAAGACTCGTCATCCATCAAAGTAATTGACTTTGGCTTGGCAGAGCTCTTTGAGCCAGATCAGAAGGCGCACAGCATTTTTCCCATCTGCGTGGCTCGATTCCCTTGGTTGAAATCAAAGATCCTCACCTCACCTGCTATATTTTGGTACATAATTAATTACTCTATATTTCAGACATATTTAACAGTCAACATCATTAACAAAACATCACTGACATGAATCATGGTCATTTTTTATGTCGATGGTTATTTCTCGTCCCCTGCAGCATTCTGATGCATTTGGCGGCCAGAGCCTCAGTTGTCCAGACTTGGCGCTAGAATCTTCCAGATTCTTCGATTCTTCCAGGAACTTTGCTGTATATGGCACCAGAGGCTGAAATCGAAGTTGTGCCGAGACACTGAGTCACCACTGAGTCACGTGACTCAGCTCGGTGGTCAGCCAGGTTTTTAAGCTCAAGCTGGAATTCAAGTCAGACATTTGGAGTGCCATGCGCTCAGGGATTGTTGCCAATGTCTCGGATGCTTGTACTTTTTATTTTTCTTGTTTGGTCATCCGGTGACACAGTGCACACATTGTGCACCTTTCTTCAAATACGTGGCACGCACAATGAGCTCAGGCTGGAGTGATTTTATACAATCTTTTGACAGGCCGCACTGTGGCACTTTTTGCCGATTCGCAGATGAACCTCTTGAATCCATCCAGATGTGCCAGATGTCAGGTGACTATCCCTTCATGGCCACTTGGCCCTTGCCGAAAGGGAAGACAATGGAATGGCCGCAGACCTAAGGATATGGATTCAACAGTTGATGATCTCCGATTTGCTCCTTCTACAAAGCCTGACTTCAGCTTCAAGCGCGAAGTGTTGACAAGGTGGCAAAGTGAGCTCACACGATCCATCCAAGAGGACTGGCATACTCATTTGATATCATTTGATCATCTTCAAAAAAAGAAGAGGAGTTATGTTTCCAAAGTTGCAAGACGGGGCCCTCGAACGCCTGTACGTCCTTTCACTATGAATGTTTGGTTGTCAAGTTGGATGTATACTTTCCCCATGGCCATTGGATAAAACTGGCATCATGAATCATGATCAACGATCAAAGAATTTGGGGCATTTTCTTCACATGTTCATCAAAGAAATTTGGATTTTCCCATGGATGTTCAGCCAGATTTTCCCATGGTTTTCCTCACAGTGATTCAGCCAGACAGGATCGTTTCCGTGACAACAAACTGCTTCCATCTTGGTCGCCTGAGAGTCTGGATCTACTCCGCATCACCTTGGAAAAGGACCCAGGTTGAAATTGAGGCAACGACACTTCAATGGCACATTTAATGATCATTTAGGGGGATACAGGGGGAATGGGGGAATGGATTTAGGGATAACATGGGATAGGATAACTTACTTTTTTAGACAAAGCTATTTTGGAGATCTTGGAGATACTTGGAGATGCTTAAAGGTGTTGCTTGTGACTTCAAACCACTGCAGGATGTGAGAAACCGCCCTGAAGCAGCAGGTTGCCTTGAGCATCCCTGGTTCACCAAACATGAGGTGCTGAAGCTGAAGATTTTTGGAGAGGTTTTGGAGCGGTTCAGAGACAGAGCTCTGGCCACAAAAGTTTCTTCAGATTTCAACAGATTTCATCCATCGTTTTATCTGTGCCAGGCAGCTCCCCCACCTCTATCAGTTGGCGTGACGCAATGCCCGGGTTCCAAGTTGTCAGCATGAAGTTTTTTTGTTCGATATGAAAAGCAATGGTCGAATGTGAGTTGCAAGGCCTTGAAGCATATGCTCTGCAGCCGGAAATGAAGAAGGTCCCTCATTGTTTGCACTTTGAGTGATGCAAAAATGACAATCCAGACATCCCTTGCCTGAAGTTCCTTTCAGGCAATTTTTTTGCTGATTGCACACATGTGCACGGCGCCGGCGCTACAAGAGCTGCGGGCAATCTTCACGCACTTCGACGTCCTCAACAGGGGCGCCTTATCACTATCTCACTTCAGAGAAGTGCTGTTCAAATCTGGAATGGCATCTTTGCAGGCAAGTTCTGGGCAAGTTTTGGTTCCTCTTCAGTGCTTTTGCTGCCATTCTGTCTTTTGTCTTGTATTCGTTGTGCCATGTTGTGCCATGTTGTGCCTTGCATTCAAATGTTGGAGGTGGAGCGAATAACCCATGCTTTGGACCAGGCAGGTTTTGACTTTCGCATCTCGGATTTCTCGTGTCCGAGCATGGTGTGGCATCGTGCAAGGACAAAAGTGGTGCGGTGACGTGGACAGAGTTCCTTGCCGCAGCGCTTTGTGTCAGTGTGTGTAGAAACAGGCGCAGAGTCAGGGTGCGAGTTGGTCGAGTATCCCTTAAAATGCTGGCAGGTGACTTGAACAACCTGGATTGTGATGCCATCATTTTGGGTCTTAGGACTATCTGACTATCTTCTACCTTGAGCCTTCCCAAGCACTTATGCTGCATTTTTTCGACCTGTTACAGGCGCTTGGTCGAGGCGGCATTTTCCGTCTTTGACAAAGACGGGGACGGCAAGGTGAGTGCTTTTGCCTTTCAGATTCGAGCTGGGTGACCTCTTCACTGCTCCAGGTGAGCTTGGAAGATTTTTCCGACTACTTCGCACTTGGAGATGAAAGAGAGGTTTTCATCTGGGTGGGTGAAAATTGGGTCCAAATTGGATGTTTGGTGTGAGGAATAAACAGTCAATTTGTGGGTTGGAAAGTCTTAGATTCTGGTCCGTACCATGTGTTTTTGCTTTCGATTTAGGCCTTGGTGATCAGAACAGATGTGGTTTGGTCCCTGGGAAAACTTATGGTGCCTGCCAATTTTGCAGAGGTGTGGTTGAGGCATTTGCCCAGACAGCTTCAGATCATCGGTGACAAAGGTGCGAAAAAAGCGCTTTTTCACTCTGGTTTCACGCGCTGTCGGAGTTTCTTTGCTGGATTGCGATTGGGGGAATAATCGTAACCAGCTTTTTTGGGGTAACAAGGGTTTTGACCCATGACCATTTTCCAAATGCTCCGTCCTGGGTGCAAGGACCTGATGGCAAGTACACAAAGGTCGCATTCTCAGACAGATTTGTGGTGTCAAAGAGAATTGGTGCGCGCTTTCTGAGGAGCAATTTGTGGAGTACGTTGGCAAACGCATGGGCCTCAGGTTCAGTTTTTTGCGGATGTACAACCTCATGAAAAGTCTGATAAAACTTGAATTCTATAGTAGTTGCAACCGAATTTCCACATTATTGGTGCTGCAAAGGCATGGTTGTGACATCCGGCGATGCCCTAATGGCAGTTGGCTAATATTGTTACAAAAAAAATATTTTACTAGAAATATATATATATATAATTATATATATATATATCATATTATTATATATAAAAAAATATAATATTTTTCAAAATATTTTCTATTTAATTCAAAACCGACATTTTTTTTTATTTTGAAAATTAAATAAATAATTTATTTTTTAATTAAATATATTGGAATAATTTTCGTGATAATTATTTTGAACAAAAATAAATATTTAGAAGAATATTAGAAATATATATTTTTAAACATATTTTAAACTTTATATTTTATATTAAATTTATAATTGGAATAAACAATAAAATTTTGTTTAAACTATTTAATAATTTATTTTTAGGAATTTTTATTTTATATTTATTTTTTATAATTATTTTATTATTTGAATTATTAATAAATATATTTATATTTTTTGAAAAAAAAGATGAAGCCCACGAACCCGAATGCTGACACGTATGTTAATGGTACAGATGTCAAAACACATGGTTATGCAGTGACGCACAATACCTTTCTGCAATAGTTTATTTGAACAGTCTTGTACATGTTTCCCTTGCTACCAGTCTGCAGTGTGGAGTGGAAAGTGTAGAGTGTGGAGTGTGGAGTGTGAAGTAAGGAGTGTGGAGTGTAAAGTGTGGAGTGGGGAGTGTAGAGTGTGTAAAGTGTAGAATGCGGAGTGTAAAGTGTAGAGTGTGGAGTATGGAGTGCAAAGTGTGAGTGTGGAGTGTAGAGTGTGGAGTGTAGAGTGTAGAGTGTGGAGTGAGGAGTGTAAAGTGCAAAGTGCCGAGTGTGGAGTGTAAAGTGTAGAGTGTGGAGTATGGAGTGTAAAGTGCAAAGTGTGGAGTGTGGAGTGTAAAGTTTAGAGTGTAAAGTGCAGAGTGTGGAGTGTGGAGTGTAAAGTGTGGAGTGTAAAGTGTAGAGTGTGGAGTGAGGAGTGTAAAGTGTGGAGTGAGGATTGAAAGTGTAGAATGTGGTGTGTAGAGTGTGGAGTGTGGAGTGCAAAGTGTAGCGTGTGGTGTGTAGAGTGTGGAGTATAAAATAAGGAATATAGAGGGTGGAGTAAGGGGGGAGGAAAGTACTACATTTACCATTTAAATTGATATAAGTACTTGTTTGGAAATTTTGGAAAGGAAAAAATTTGAGATTTTTACCATAAATACGATGACGTTATAGGAAAAACCAGAACCTCGAGACAAGACACATGGATGCAGAAAAATAAATATTTCGTGGGAGATATGCTCTAATTTTGACACTTTTAATACATTATTAAACAAAATAGAATATTAGAAAGTACTATACTTGTTACACAAAATAACATGATAATTTATTTGGAAACATTCGAAAAGGAGAGGTTTCCAGCTTCTAACATAGACACGGCGAAGCCACAGGAAAATTAGCGATTCGAAATAAGATATATGGATGTAGAAAAAACAATATTTCGTACGAAACTTTTTCGAATTTTTATAATTTAA